AAAGACATAGGCAGAGGGGGAAGCAGGCTCCATGAAGGGTTTCCAGGATCACACCCTGGGCTGGAGGTGGTCTAAATCTCTGAGCCACTCCGGCTGCCCTTGATATAGAATTTCTACGTGCAAGCTTTCCATCACTGAATTCCCTTGAACTTAGTAGCTTAAAACAAGGCAAATTTGGTATCTCACAGTTCTGCTGGTCAATAGCCCTGTGCGCTAAGCTGGTTTTTCTGCTTAGAGTTTTACATGGCCACTATCAATGTGTTGGCAGGTCTATGTTACTTTCTGAAGGTTCTAGTGAACATTTCATTTCTAGGCTTGTTCAGATTGTTGGCACAATTCACTTCCATGTAGTTGTAGGACTGAGGTCTGTTTCCTTGCTGGCTGTTGGCCAGGAGTTGTACTTAGCATTCAGAGGCTGCCCTTATTTTCTGGTTTACAGTTCTCTTCAAAACCAGCAAAGCCATTCAAGTCACACTCTTGCTTGGAATCTCTCTGACTCTCCTCTTGCTGCTTTATCTCTCTAATGTGACTTTAGCTAAGGAAGGATTCTCCACTTTTAAGATGACATGTAATTGTATTGAACCCATCTAGATAATTCAGGATAATCTCCTTTCTCAAATTCTTTAACTTTAAACACATCTGTAGAGTTCCTTTTGTCATGTAACATATCATATTCATAGGTTCAAGGAAGTAGACATGGAAACCTTTAGGGGATTATTATTTTGCCTGCCACATTCTAGTTATATATGTCACAGTTGAAATGTTTCCAAATGAAAAATATAGAAGTTTTATAAATATGATTTCTAAAAACACTCTGTCCATTTACTTGCTAAAAAATGGTGTATGTTCACATACACACCAACATACCATTACACTATAGACACGTAATTACCTAGGGATACAAATGTACAAATGATGGATATGTTTGAGAAAAAAAAAGGAAAGTTAGAGTTGATAGAATAGGTAGAAAATAAGAATTCTAAAACAATCTAATGTTTGTTTGCTTTTTTTAATAATGAAAGGAGTACATAAAAACAACAGTGAGAGTTTCATTGACTGGTATTTTTTAGACAAGAGATGAAATCTGCTAGGTTTGTGAGAACAAGCTAAATCATAGAAGAAAAAATTCTGGAGTATGACTCCTATGTAACATACATAAATATTGTAAGAGGGTCTGAAATATTTAGGATATTATTAACAAGTAAAATTTCTATATTATCTTTACTCATAATTGCCAAATGTTGGGCACAATCAAGATGTTCTTTAGTAGGTAGACAGATAAACAAATGGTGGTAAAACCAAACAATGGAATATTATTTGGTACTAAAAAGAAATAAGCTATGAATACATTGAAGAAACTTACATGAATATTTCTAAGTGAAAGAAGCCAATCTGAAAAGGCTACATACTCTATGATTCTAACTATATGATATTCTAGAAAAGACAAAACTATAGATACAGTAAAAAGATCAATGGTTCCCAGGGCCTAGGGTCAAGGAAGGATGTATAGGCAACATATAGATTTTTAGGACAGTGGAACTATTCTGTATGATACTACTATGGTGGATACATGTCATTTATATATTTGTCAAAACCTATAGAATGTACAAGCTGAACATTATTGTAAACTATGGACCCTGAGTGATAGTAGTGTGTCAATGTAGGTTCATTGTTTTAGCAAATATAATACTGTGGTGCAGGATGTCAATAGCGGGGGAATTTTTGCTTGTGTGACAGCAGGAGGTATACAGAAACTCTCTGTACTTTTTGCTCAATCTTGATGTGAACCTAAAACTGCTATCTACTAAAAAATGAATTGCTCAGAAGGACTTGATAGAGAAATTTCAGAAGCTAACAGACTGAATGAGGGTCCCAGTGTGTAGTGACCTAACATTTAAATGTATAAGTATGAGGAATAATTTTACTTAGAATTGTCGGTCTTGGAGTCTGTTCTAAAAATCTGGATATCATATTGTTGCGGGTTAAGTTGTATTTTAATTACATACAGTATTTTTGCATTTACACACAATAATATATTTTTTTGCTATTTATGTTGGCATAAATTTAATATGAATGCAGGAGGGGAAACTGCTTGTTTTTCTGAGGGCTCTATCTGTTTATGTCATTGAAATGAAGGGCAACACTTAACTTAAAAACAAAACAAAAAGGGAAACAGCCAGATTCACAAGCAGTCTCAAAACAAAAGAAATAAAGGCAAAAATATTATCCCCTTGGCTTAGAATGGGGACAACTAAAATGATAGCTATTCAATATCCAGTGATAGTCATTATTTAAACAAGGATGTTTAGACTGTTACCAGAAACAAATACAGCTAAAATAATGCTCAGTTTGTATGTTTCCATTGGGGAAGGTAGGGGTGGATGTCTTCCTTCATCCAAAACATAAAAGAGTTAGTAAATTCTTTGGAGGTAGGGAACAAAATTCTCAGCTACCATTTGCCTGTTGGGGACTTAAATACATTGCCTGGATAATTTCTTATCACTGTCTGATTAACAGACGATAGTTTGGTGCATTTAAAAGAAAGAGTGAGGGAGATCAAGGGTCTGAGGAATAAGGGATGGCTTTTATGCTATTATTTTTTATTAACTCTAAAGCAATTGCATGGACAAAGACCTATAAATATTTTACAAATGACTTTTAAAGGTTTCTCAATAATATCTAGTAGTTTTGAAAGTCATCGCAAAACAAAAATGAAGGAAATCTCATTTTGACAACACTCGATCTACATCAGTTTTTTTTTCCTTCTGTCTACTGTCGATTGAAACAGAATCATAAATTTAAGCCTAATTTAAAACAACTCACAAATCTATAAATGAATCCTCTCAATGTTAAAGAGATGGACTTGTCTGATAATCCTTTGGCCTGCATTTTTACATTTATTGCCTCCAGCCCGAAAAGAGAATGAAAAATCACAGTAAAAACAAGAAAGTGTCAGTTCTCGAGACAGTGTTCTATCTTATTTAACCGGAACTACTTTAGACTAATTAAAATCAGAAGTATACTTTGCCCCCAGGACGGTACTGTGCAGTGGTACACTGAAGTATCCCTATTTTTATTGGAATACCTCCCTGGCTAACTTACCCTCCTCTCGCCACTTTAGGGTCCTGTGATGTCTCCGTAAATGTTACCTATTCTTTCTTCAATGTCTAGCTGGAGGGCCTACTTCTTCCTTCCTACACCAGTTCATGGTACGCTTTCCTTTTTCCATTCTGTTCCTGTCTTTTGGTACAGCTCATTTAGTGTTCAGCATTTACCTCTCGAAGCACATCCTGTATCCTCGGTGATGTTTGTCTCCTGTTCTATAGGCTGAGCCTAAGGAAAAAGCTCCGTGAGTGGAACATGCGGTGTCACTGTCCGTGGTCCTGAAACATCGTTGTTGTCGGCTAAGGAAGTTTTAAGTGTACACAGTTGACTCCTGTGCACTATCTAAGGCATTTTTAGAGTGGTGTAGTGATGATGACAAGGAAAATGTAAGGCAAGAAGACGTTTGGAGAAAAAGATAAAAAGGATGGTTAGAGACAGAGCTCTCAAGCCATTGCCTGGAAAGAATAAGACACTTGGCTTTGATATTATTTTCAAACAATTGCAGATGTCAGCTTGGGAAGAAGGGGATGTAACATAGCTGACAAAACCAACGAACAAGGAGTATAAAAAATGCGTGTACCAAGTGATATTAGGCCGTACAAGTGTTGGCATGAACTGATACATTGATGCCGGTGGGCAAGCCGACCAGACAAGTAGCGCGTTGCGAATGCAGCATCACTTGTGTCTTACCAAACTGCCATAGATTTTGTCTTTATTCTTATCTCTTGATTAAAAAAAAAAAATTGTCACTTGGCATTATGGCAGAACAAAGTACCTGTAACTTAGTAGCTTGTACCTTCTTCATTTCTAGCATTCCTGTAACGGTTACATTCCAGTCCCAGATGACGCAGATGGACAGAGCATATGTACTCCCTACAATCTAAGTTCCCCAACTAAAGTATAACCTCTGCGAGGACAAACACCGGATACTAAACATTTCTGATATCTTGAAATGCTTAAGTAGAGTGGCTGGTGCAAATTGGGGGCTTAGTAATGTTTTTTTTTTTTTTGGATCAATAAAAGAATCAGAATGCCTTCCACATACACAACATTCAACCAAGGCTCGTGAAATGAGCAGAGGTTGCATCTGTTTTTAACACTTACATCCTCTTCCAGGTCCTATTTTAAAGTCCAATGCTCCTTCCCTCGTTACGCCAGGTCCCCCCAAACCTACGTCCCATATTCAGCCTCCACCTTCGCGCACTTAGGCCCAGCCCTTCTCCTGCCACGTGCCCGCGCCCTCTCTGGGCTCACCCTTTCTTCCTCCTCGTTAACCCCCATTCCCTTCCCTCCCGGCCCAGGACCTCTCCCGCACCGCGTCTCAGAACCCGGTCCTCGCGGCTTCCGGCCACTCAGGTCCGGGTGCCCGCCCGGAGGGGAACGCGGTTGTCATGGACACGGCACCTGCGCCCTTCGGCGGCGCCCCTTCACCGCCGTCCCCTCCCCCCACGGCCCCCACCTGCGGCGCGGAGCGAGCCCGGCCTCCCCGGCTCCGCCCCTGCCCCTCCCGCTCGGCGCTCCCTAGGCCGCGCGCGCCCGCGTCCCCCCCCACCCCCGTCCCCGCCCCCACCCCCCCACCCCGGCCTCCCCCAGCCCCGCCGAGTCGCGGGGACCACGGGGGCGCGCGAGCGAGGGAGCGAGGGAGCGAGGGAGCGAGCGAGCGAGCGGCCGCGCCTGCGCACTGGTCGCCTCCCCTAGCGGCGATTCGGGCCGCTGCCGCTCGCGCTTGGGCAGGACGCGGGGCGGGCTGGGGGAGGGGGAGCGGCTTCGCTTCCAGCCCTGAGTAAGGCGGAGACCCGGGCCGGCGGGCGGAGCAGGAGCCGCCGCACCTCGGCCAGAGGCGGCTGCCGCAGCTGCTGCCCTCGTCCCCGCCGCCGCCTCTCCAGTCCCTTCTGTGATTACCCCTCCAGCGGCTGGGAACGAGAGAGAAGGAGGAGGAGGCGAGAAACTCCCACCGACCCACAGAGGTGAGTCCTGGGCAGAGCATCCTCCATCCCTGCCTGCCTCCCTCCCTACCTCCCTCCCATCCTCTCCATCCTCCCCTCCCTCCGCGCTCCCCAACCCTCCCGCCCTCATCCTTCCCAACATCCCTCTCTCCTCTCCCCTCCTTTCTCTCTTCCAGCCTTTCTTTCATCCCTTTCTTCCTCTCTCCCAGCCTCACTTCCTTCCCACCCTTTCTTTCTTCCCTGTCTCCCTTTCAGCCAGCCACTCGCCCTAGAGCGCAGCTCTGCATCCTTTCCTCTTTTACCCCCGTTCTTCACCCCTTCCCCGGTGGGAGATCCCTAGCCTGCTACAACTGTCCGGATTCAGGGGCTTCCAGAAAATTGGGCACATATACTGAGGGATGCACTCTTGCACAGCGGATGCCCTGCAGGTCCCTAAATTATTTGGATAAGGGTCAAGTTGAATAGAGTACTGGGACCTGGGAGGAGAAGACGGGTGAAGAAGAATCTGTGGATTTGTGCAGTATTAGGGTGGGGGTGGGGAGGATTGCCACTTAAAACATGTTGCCAGCAACCCCCCACACCCCCTTTTGGCAGTTTCTTTTTTTTCTTCCTGGGAATTACATATTCCCAGCGTGAGTCCCACTAATTTTAAATTAGCAGCTTTCCTGCTTGGATAGTCTCCGTGAGAAACCACAAGGAAAGAAGAGAAGAGAGGAAGAGAACAAGAGAGGAAGAGGGGAGGGGAAAGGAAGGGTGGTGGCGGTGGACGTTTGTATCCTTTACCCCTAGGCCTCTTTTGATTGATATTTTCAAACCACCCGCCTAATATTTGTCTTGGAATTGAACCCGTGTGTCCTTAGTCCTGTCACTATCTCCTTCAAAAGCAGAAACTCTCTAAACTTTAATGCGTGTGCACCATGGCATTATTTATGGAATGTTTTGGTCAGCATACAAAACACTAAGGTAGATTGATCTGGGAAAACGGAGCAGAAGGATGGCAGAGATGCACTTTTGTTCATTATGGGTTAACTTCTAAAGGAAGACAATGGAGGGGTAGTTTTTGGAGTAATGAGGTTATACTTCACAGGCTTATAAATATACCATTTTAATAACATTAGTTGTATTATAGGCTTTAACAGATATCCTTAGCCTTTCTCATCCACCTTAAAGGAATCGTAAATATCTTTGAGGAGAGACATAGTGTGTAATTCTGCTTGTGGTTTGCATCAGTGGAAAAGTTGAATTAGCTCCGGGACCATTATTAACAATTTAAAATTTCAGTTGTTTTGTGCCACTTAGTTTCGCCAAAAGATATATTTCACTTTGCTTTCTTTAGCTTGCACTGTAGTCTCTTTCATTATATATATTAATAGCAGTTTTTCAGTCTTCCTTTTTGCCAGCATTGCTGCTGAAAAGTTTATTTCTATGTGGTGGGACAACCATGCCTTAGAATGTTTAGTGTCTTCAATCATTTTAGAAAGCTCCAACAAACAATATAAGTATAAATCAGAAATGGAGTATTTAGAAGCTTGTATTTTGCCGTGACTATATTCTCTTTAAAAGGAAAAAAAAAAAAACAACAAAACTCAAAAACCTTAATATCCTTAGAATAGCTGTATTTTATGTTTAATGAGTATGTGGGGAGGAACTGAAATTAATGGTGGATTCAGTGAAGCTGACAGTAAGATTCTGTGCTGTGGAGCAAATTATTGATTTTTTTCTTTTCATTTAAATTATTATATGTCAGTAGTGCAATATGCATTTTTGCATTTTATGGGCATGTAAAGTAGGAGTTGAGATGAAGAGAATTACCTTGCAAAATGATTGAGTGCTGATTTGATGAAGAACTGACACCGTTAATCATCTGAATCAGTTTGGGGGAAGTAGATGTTATTAGGAATGATGGACCTACCCCTTCCCTAAACTCCCCTTGGTAGGAATGCAATTTCGTTAATGGCTTGGTTGACTCTTAAGACATGTGGCAGAAGCTTGGTTGAATTATCAGTGTCACCAACATCCTGATGCAGAATTGCAGTCAACCCTGTCTGTATTTGAGTGGTTACATTACCTAAAAGTGAACACAATTGTAGATAGACGTGTTTTTGTATTGTTCCTTTTCCTCAAATCCCTTGAAGCTAGTGAAAGACTTTGGTAGTAACTCTATATGAATAAAATAAGTGGGTTTTATTCTAATTTACTCTCAAGTGACTTTTCCCCTTCCAGCATGGGCTTCATAGTTGTGAGCATGCAGAGGAGGCAGCCCCTCTCTTTATTGCAGTTTTGCTACACAGAGTGATGTAAGTGTATGTCTCAGTTTTTAATGATGTGCTTACTGTGAGAAGAAAGGTACCTTTTATTTGTCTTCTTTGTAAACATTTGTCCACTTAGTAAAACAAAATAGGCAAGTTTATTAAAGAATAGAAGGTAATATGACATCCGTGTACAGTAAGATTTTGAGAAAGATGAGTAAATTTAATAAAATATAAAATAGAAGAAGAAGTAGTACCTTCAGAAAGCAGTCTGCTACTCTGACCGTAATCCACTTTACAGATAAAGATGGACTTCCTCTGAGGAGTTTCATTTCTAGAAGCTTCTGCCTTTAGTTGACTGGACCTTTAAGAACGTATGGTACAGATAAGGACCCAACAGAACAGTTAATGGATGATGTAGAAAATATTCTGGATACACTTTCGGTGCCTCCCTCACTCAGAGCTCTTAAAACCTGTCCAACACTATGCCCTGGTATGAGGTGTTGGAAGGAAGTAAAAGACACTACTCACTTTGACCTTAGCTTACAGTCTAGTTGAGGAGCACAGACATTTGCATGAGGTCGTATTTCACTATGTCAAACAAGATCTTTGGAAAGAGCTTTAGGTTTGAGTTCGTGCCTTACTTAAGTGGTAGAGAGTTATGTGCCCTTGCTTACTATTTAATTCTTTTTCTTCATCTACAAAATGGGAATTTTCATAGACTCTGATTCATGGGATTTTTTTTAAGGGTTAAATGTGTTAAGCAGTGTATCTGGTATGAACAGTGTGTGTATTGAGTGAGCATTATTGTCATTTGGAGAAATGATTTTAAAACAATCCAAGAGAACTAGAAAGAAGTGAATTAAAGGTCAGTGTTAGAGGAATTCCAAACAGGTCAGATGTTTATGTGGCTGGGGAAAGGTTATATTCAGGGTATCTCTCGAGCTTGGACAGATACTCCTGAGAAGGATTTCAAGCAGTGTAACACAGCTAGAACAAAAGCAGAAACAGAAGCAGCAAGATGTGTTTGGGAAGTCTCTTTACTAGAATATTTGGCGTATAGGTGAGGGTATTAAAATGTATTAAACATATATAGTCAGAGTAATTACACTATCCCTTGAGGTGAGACAACTTGTTTTAGTGTAGCATCTATTTTATTACAGAATACTCAGCCACCCAGGGGGTTTGGATTAGTACTCACCCAAAACCAGATCCCAAGGCACAGAATCCAAGGTCCAGGTGGCAGTGAGGACCCAGACTATTCTTTTTATCTCTTTTCTTTAAATTTCAAGGCAGAGTAAAGTTGAACTTTCTGAACAACAAAGGCTCAATATTGTGATTTTCATAGCTCTCTTTTGTTTTGCCTTAACCCAGGAATATTCCAGGACTGTCTGTATCTTGGAGAATAATTACCAAGATTATTTCATTTTGACAACATATGAAGCCAGTAATTTTAGGGTATTTATGTCTCCAGGAACTTTATTTTTATTTCATTGTTGACTTTTCCCAATAACAGCAATCCCCTCCCTTTTTTTTTGGTGTTCAAGATTATTAATGATCCTGTATGGATTATGCTATTTCAAGTATTTTACTGGGAGACTAAGCTGTGATGACCGCAGAGGGTCTGTTTGAGAATGTGCACTGAGCAAGTTAAATACCTGCATAGGATGGGGTGCGTATTGCTTCTGGCTACGTCTGTTGGTATATATATATGTATCTATGAAACAATTATCCAATAGCGTAAGTGATATGAGTTGTGTTATTTCATCAGAAAAAAAGATTTTTGGAGGATTTTATCTGCAATTTAAAAGTGTTAGTATTTATAGTGCTCATGTTTAATCCATTTTTAATAGACTGGCACAGTTTGGCTGCTTTATCCAAAATAGTAAAATGCTCTTCTTATATTTATTGTTTCATAGTTTTAATAGTATAGAAGATGATCTCATGAACAGTATTTTATGGTATTTCCAAAAGCTAGCAGTTTAACAGGCCAGAGCCTGTAGCATTTTTATTTTTTTATTTTGAGGTTTTTTTTTCTCAATATTTTGATGTTTTAAAGATTACCAGACCTAAATAAAACATATTCAAATGTATTACTTCTAGTTAGTTCCCTACTAAAGCACCAGTGATTTTTGACAGACTTTACTTTTAGACATTCTTATTTTCCTCATAAGTGAATTTTTACCTTGGAGATGAATTCTAACTCAACCACAAGTATGCATTCAACAACTCTTTGAGATTATTACCTCTAATACATTATTAAGAATCACAAAGTGATAGTCTGATTTTATAAAGCTTAATTTTATAGTGCTTTTGTTCCTTTTTATTTCAAGGCTGTATCTACATGTACAACTTTTAGACTATTATTTTCTAGTTGTGAAGACAGTGGGCATTAACAAGAGTGAAATAAGCAATTATCTTCCCTTGTAAGTTAAGGTGGTGACCAAATGGAGAGGTGAAATAGGATAAGATAAAATGAATTAATTTCGTTTCATCTATTGAGCTGAAAAATTAATACTTCCTATTCAGTTAGGGGTTTTCTGTATTTTTTTCTGTCATGCTAATTAAATCCATGTTTTATTTGTTTAAATGTATGTACACACATATATTTCATTTGACATTCTTTAAAACTAGATCATAGATTTAAAAACATGTATGCAAAATCCGATGTTGGTATTCTATTATTTTGCTAGTTTTTAGTATCTTGCTATTTTCTTTATTTGCCTTCTTGAGAGAACCAAGTAATGTAGCACCTGAGGAAGTTGCCTGATT